GTCAGAGCATCAAAGAAGCGTCCAATTTTTTTTTAAGCTTTTCTAACGGACGCCGCTCTGCTTTCAGGGATCAACAGAGGATCAGAAATTCAAATATGGGGAGTGGTGGCCTAGCGGTTTGAGCAGAGCTCTGTGTTCTGAGAAGGTTGCAGTCCCTGGTTCGATCCCCACAGCCTGCACTCTGGGTCTCTGAGCAAGACCCTTAGCCCCACACTGCTCCCTGGGCGCCACACAATGGCAGCCCACTGCTCCCCAAGGGGAGGGGTTAAACGCAGAGAGTTGTTGTCCAGGTGAGCACCAAGGGATTTCTACTCCTCCTCCACTTCTTCTTCCAGGATGTTAACAGGATTCAACTGTTTCTTCTGAAATCTCCAATCATCTCCTTGTTTTGTTGACTTTCAGGATCAGATGATTGTTTCCACATCATTTAATTGGGTGAGTGAATAGGGGCAAGGCAATAAAGAATGGAGTGGGGAATGTAATAAATTAAGCCACGAGGCTGCCAGCGGTAGAGGAGTCATCAGGAACCAGGAGACTGTTGATAACGTGGAAGCAGCTGGCTGGGTTTATGTTTTTGATATTTCCGTTAAAGATAAGGCGATCCTGACAAAGTGAGGCAGCAAATGAGAGATAAAAATATCAGGGACAGAGAACTGCTCATCTGAAATATTGGCTGAACTAAAACCAAGACAGCAGATGAAGTCCATGGTGTCCTTTATTGTGTGCTAGAAAATCCTAGAACATCGACATGAAGCAAACCCTTTTGTAGGTGGATGATTTTTATTGTCCATGAGAAAAATTCAGCTGCCCTGCAGGGTGACAATAGGGCGGAGTGTTGCAAAAATAGAGCGTTATAACCAAAGAGAAAATCCCTGTGTGGCTAAGGAGGAAAGTACATGTGGCAATAATGACAGGTGAGGAACCAGAAAAATATTTCCATTCATCACCGCTTCTACAACCAGAGTCACATGGCTGCGAGAAGTAGGGCTGTTTCGGTCAGACCTAGAAAGTCCAACTCTTGATCAGTAATGGGATCCTGAATGAGATGTTTTGCTGTAGTCAGACAGTAGTCTGAAGGCTAAAGTTCATAGTGATGTGATGCAGAAGAGTGCTAGCACACTGCAGTCAGCTGTCCGACCAGAAATAAGGAGAGCAAAGAACAAGGTCAAGTTTATGGATGAAGACTTGTTAATATGATAGCTGTAAGAGGAGCCACAACAAATAAATCTACGCAAGGAGGGAGATCTACATCTGGATGGAGCAAGAGAGGAGATGGGGGAGGCCGGATGTATCCAAGCCAGAGGAGATCGGTGGAGAAGTGTTGGGAAGCACAAAATCCAGGGTCATAGAGAGGCACAGGAGAACCCAGGGAGGACGGTCCCTAGATACAGCCATTCAAGACCCATGAGGAGAAGATGAAGTTTGAATGCCTGATGAAGGTTTGCTGGACTGAATAGATACCTGTCCAGGTGTAAGCAGCACATTACTAAGGGATTTAGCAGCAGTAGAGGAGGAAAAGGGTCAGCAAGTTGATACAAAAAAAAAAACTGTAAGACCATTTACAATAAACCTAATTGGAGTCCAGCAAACTGAGACCAACACCCTGCTTAGCTTCCAACTTTCAAAGAATGGTTAGAACCATTCTAGTAGATAGTTTGGTGCTGGATGCTAACTCAAGATGAACAGAAAGCCGGCTGCGATGGGATGGTGTCTCCTGGTCTTTCCACTCACCTGACAAACTGATACAGGACAGACTGAGCTCTGAAGATGCTCCTATTACGTCATCCTGCAAGAAGACAACAGACACAGTCACATTTAAAACCGAAATATAAAAAGATGTGGATCCAGGGCGGGTAAACTCTGGACACGTATCAGTCCAATCCACAGCGTCTTTTACTGACTCACCAACATCCTTTGTAGACAGCCAAGATTGTCCCCCTCTGTCTTGTCGTTCAAAGTGTCCTGGAAGCTGACAGCATGGCCCAGTCGAATGAGCTCCTCACCAATATCCAAAACCTAGATTGGACAAAAAAGATAATAAATCACTGCAAACAAAAGAGATGTTTGAGAACACGGATCCAACGGCATTAACTGGTTTAATATGGAGCATAAGGTTAACCTAAAGCCACGAGCCAAGAGAACAAAAGCAGCTAACCTTTCCTTTGCTGTTGTCGTACAGCTTGACATTGGGCCAAGACGAGACATCTGAGTGGGAGTAACTGCAGAGTTTGGCCTGAAGAGGGGTCCAGTTAGCACAGTAGGTCAGTTGTTCAAACGCATCCAGGGCTGCTTCAGTCCAAACGTCCCCTTCAGGAGACAGCAGAGACAATGTTGGTAGAAAGACCAGCTGGAACATATGGCTGACCCAAACCAGAACTGCTAAGAGACATCTGGGCCTAATAGAATATGGCTGACCCAAACCAGAACCGCTAAGAAACATCTGGGCCTAATAGAATATGGCTGACCCAAACCAGAACCACTGAGAAACATCTGGGCCTACTGTAAAGTGGAATACAAGATAGATCCCCACCTCAATTAAACATAATATTTCTATACAGAACCTTCTGTTCTACTGGGGGACTTCAACGCCCTTTTGGGAAACAAAATTGATTCCTGGAGGGCCTTGATCAGCAGGAACAGACCCCTGCTCTGAAACCGAGTGGTGTTTGATAATTGGACTTCTTGGCAAGTCATGGATTGTTTAAAATGAACATCATGTTAGAGCATAAGCACGTCCATTGTTGAAATTGGTGCCAGAACACCTCAGGCCGGAGGTTGATGATCCACTTTGTAGTTATATCTTCTGACCTCTGGCCACATGTCTTGGACACTAGGCCGAAGAGGGGGCCAGCGCTGTCCACTGACCACCACCTGGTTAGCAAGCTGGATGTACTGGAAGAGGAGGAAGCCAGATAGACACAGCAGGCCCAAACAAATAGTGAGGGTCTGCTGAGAACATCTGGTGGAGCCCTTGGTCAGGGGACGTATTCAACTCTCATCTCTGGGAGAGCTACTCCTAGATTCTGGAGGAGGCTGGAGACATGGTGTCTAAGTGGATCATGTTCTCTACCTGTACTGCCAATGCGCCAACCGTAGCTGTGGCCGTAAGGTCTGCATTGCATGACTTGTCGACAGTCCCGAAACCCATTGGGACACTGGCAGTTAAGGATGCTGTAAAGCTGTAGGAGTCATTCTATTGATCCTGGTTGGCTAAGAGACAGTCTAACTTGTAAGGAGAAGGTATCAAGCAGGTATCATGAGGCCAAGTATGCCGCAGTCGGGTGTTTGCATAGGCAAAGAATAAGGCCTGGGAGTAGTTTGGATGGGCCAATTCTGGCAAACCATCCGGCGGCTGAGTGGGGAGCTACTGATTGTGAGAGAGGACATTGTCGGATGGAGGAAGGAATACTTTCAGGATCTCCTCAATCTGGCTGACATGCCTTCCATGGTGAAGTCACTAAACTCCACTGTGTCAAGGAGATCCACCCTAAGTACCTTAGGGCTCTGGAAGTGGTAGGGCTTTCCTCGTTGACAGGGGTGGTGGGTCCCCTGCATAAAAAACAAGACCAGAGGATCTGTTCCAACTAAAGGGGGATCCGACTACTCGTCCTCCCCGGTGAAGTCCATGCCAGGGTGCTGGAGGGGGTCCTGCTGATTGTCAAACCTCTTCATCAATAGGAGCAGTGTGTTTTTCTTCCTGGTCGTGGAAGAGTGGGTGGACCAGCTCTACACTCTGCAGGGAGCTTGAGGGTTCATGGGAGTTTCGCCCAACCAGTCCAAATGTGGAGCAGTAGAAGGCATTCGACCGTGTCCCTTGTGGTGCCTTCTTAGGAGTGATTCAGGAGTACGGAATCGGGGGCCCTAAAATAGGGGTAATCCGGTCTCTGTACAAGCAGAGCAAAAGTTTGCTCAATCTTGCTGGAATTGTTCCCAGTGTATGTTAGACAATGCTATACTCTCTCAGTGATCCAGTTCATAACCTTTATAGACAGGATTTGGAGGTGCAGCCAAGGACCACAGGGGGTTGGTTTGGGGACTAGCGGACTTCATCCGTGCTTTTTGCTGATAACGTGGTTCTTCTGGCGCATTCCTGCCAAGACCTACAGCATGCACAGGGGCAGTTCAGAGCGTAAAGTGGACAGGATGAAGAATCAGCTTCTCCAAGTCCAAGGCAATGGTTCTGGTTCAAGAGCAGAAAAAGGCCTGTTGTGGTGTATAGAGAGCTGAGCAAGAAGGCAAAACTCTGATCTAGCAGTCAGTCTACATTCATAACCTCACCTATGGTCATAAAATCTGGATCATGACTGAAAGAACCGGCACTTTCTCTGCAGGGTTGCTGGGCTCTCCCTTAGAGAGAGAGTGACAATTTCTGTCGTTCGGGAGGGGTCCGGAGTAGAGCAGTTTTTCCTCCACATCGAAAGGAGTCCTCTGACGAGGATCACACATCATTTTCGGCTGCCACCTGGACCAAGTGTTCCAAGAATTCCCACCAGAAAGAGGCCCAGGGTACGACCCAGGACATGCTGGAGAGACTATGTCTCTCTGCTGGCCTGGGAGGATCTCAGGCTTCCCCCGGTAGAGCTGGAAGGGAAGGGGGAAGTCAGAAGTTTTTGCTGAGGCTGCTGTCCCCTCGACCCAGACCCGGATGATGCGTGAGATGACGTGTACATTCTTGCCATATGACAGTAAATCAGACCAACACCACTGACTCATTCTGGTTCGGTGAAGATTACCAAATCGTCCTACCCAACAACAAAGGGGAAATCATTTGTCTGAATATTGAAGGCTGCACCAAAGACTAAGCAAAAGGATGTCAAGAAACTTTATTCCATTTCTAAAACAGTGACTGTGTTTAGGGATGTCCAGATACAACTGTTTGAAAATTGACTGATATTGATATTTTCCTGGTACAAAAAGCACAAATCATACAGAATTTTATTACTTCATTTGCAGTGTGGAAAATGACTTGATCAATTAATATTACTCAAACAGAGAAAAATAGTCAAATATAGTATGAGAACACCTGACCCATGGATTATTAAATACTTTAGACTGAAGCGCAGTGTTCAGCATGCTAATATTGGAGATTATAGGTGCAGGTCGATATAATCTGATATACAAGCCGATATAATATCAGATCGGGACATCCCTATCTGCTTGATGCAGTTATAATCCGAGTGAATGTTTTACCTTTGGGTCTCACCCCTGCTAAGCTGCACTCAATAGCTTGGAACGGTAGGCTGAGGAAGTCACTCCTGGAATTTTAATGCAGCAAAAGCAAGAAGCTGTTAATAAGTACTGAGGCTGCAGCTGCCTGCTGAGGTGAAGTATCTGCGTTTACTGAATATAAAAACTGTCAACAGATCAGTAAAACGTTCAACTTATAAATTCTGCAGCACATCCAATCATTTCACCTTACAAGGATCAACCCAAACATGTGGGTGTCTCCTACCTGAGGGAACGGAGGCGGTCCCTAGAAAGCTCCCCGTTGTCCCCGTAGTCCACATAGTAAAGGTCCACCAGTCCAGAGCCCAGGACTCCCAGCACCTTGGCCCTGTTCCAGCTGTTGTTGTCTCGATATGGAGCTGCCACTATGTCTCCAACCACAATGGTCTCCATGCACTGCTCCTGCAGACCAACGACACCAGCTGTGTTTACATGTGAAGGTCTGGGGCCACAGGTCTGGTTAAGGTTAGCTATGCCGTTCCGGTCCTTTCCAGGTGTTTCTGTGGAAGGACCAACAGCCCTGAGGAGCTCAGTAAATCCCACCATGGAACCACGACAGGATCCAATGAGTCCAGAACCAGTGGGTGTTCCCCAGTGGAAGCAAGAGGGGGCCTCAGAGGTCCCTACCTCTATGGAGACCTCTTACAGACCAGCTATCACCGAGTAGAGCTGCAAAATTTATCACTGAAATCTAGCAATCATCAAACTGCAGTAAATATTAGCTCAACACATTCCAGTGAAGGATCCAAATATAAACTTTACATAGTGATCCCTCCCAAAGAAAAGCAAATGTTGTGTACAGACAGACGGACGGTGGTTAATGTGAATATTAACGAAGTGAGAAAGTAGCAAAGCAGCACCGTAAGGCTCTGATATTCCTGCTACGTTGACTTCCCGTTAACGTCAGGCTAAGCTAGGCAGGTTGCTCCAACTTTATTTGTTTTATGTGTTACTGTAGAAACTGCAGTGCTTTACGGATGGACAGAAAGTGTTCAGCAAAGTTTACCTCCTAGTTTATGTTTTATTGAGAGGTTTGTCACACTTCAGGATTAAGCAAATCCTGCCCAGTTCAGCATGTTGCACTACAACAGTTGCTGCCATGGTAACGGAGGCAGGGGGGGAAGCACACTGCTGTCTCCTCCACAGGCAGCTGTCCTATGATGTGATGTATGGATCTATTCCTGTTTCCACTAAAGAAACAGAGGGAATCCAAAGAGGCCAAAAGAGTGTTGAGAGAGAGGAATATAAGGTTCCAGAAACCATTCCCGGCCAAAATGCGTGTCTTCTATGAGGGAGAAAGAAGGGTCTACAACACAGCAGAGGAGGCAACTAAGGATATGGCAGAGAGGGGGCTCCTGGTGACAGTGAAGGAATCGACAACTAAAGAGACTCTGCCTGGATCCAAACATCGGTTGCAGTCTTAAAGGAGAGGTTGGATGGGGAATGAGCGTCTGAGAGGTAAAAAATTTTGGTCTTGGTTTTGGACACTTGGAAAAGACATCCCAGATTAAAAGGATGAATCAGGACGATTTCAACTCAGGTCTTTTTTTTTTTAAAGGTTATTTTCCTTGTTACACACTGATGGTCGGGCATCTCGCCTTCTTTCTTTCTATATTTTTACTACGCTACTGTCCTGAGCTATCTCTATAGTTATGCTGCTACAGGCTTAGACTGCTGGAGGACATAGGGACCCCTATTTCATCATTCTGCTTCATTCTATCTCTATTCTCCCACTCTGCAGAATCTGTTAGTTCAATCTCTAAC